TGTCTCCAGAGTCAGATAATTTTTTGAAGTACATTTTTTTAGGACTGGAAAAAGCAAATAAATACATAGGTATGTGCATGACTGTGTGTGTATCTCTGACAATGAGACAGAAGCTATTAAATTTATAGTCTGTAGTTTGAGCTGTGTTCATTTCCACAAAAATATCCAGCAGTACACTGCTGTAAAAACCCCAGCATTTTATTGTTTGAGTTCTGTTTAAACAATATTAGCACATGGGTATCTTTTAAAGGGAAAAAAGTGGTTGTTTCTTCTAACATCTGCTTTTTAAATCTACTTATTATTCAGTTACCTAGTTTTTTTTATTATCTTTCTTTAACAACAGCAGAGCTTAACTGAAGAAGGGAGATTTAAACAGTGGTTGAAACACTGAACTTGGAAGTGAGAGGAAAACATAGCTTATTGCTACTATTGTTATTATAAGAAATAATGTATTTCATTTCTAAACAGTGTATTTCTACTAAGAGGTCTGTAAGAGGACTGAAGGCCAGTCAAAGCAGTCTTGTCCTCACATTTTTTGCATACAACTGGTCAAGTGAATGTTCTGCTTAGCTGTCAAAATAAGTGCTTATAAGTGATTATAGGCTTTGTATAAAACATCATTAACAGCTCCCAAACATATAGCTAACAAGCTATTGCAATCTTTTCCTCAATGTATGATGAACATGAAAAGCTTCTTTCTTTCCCTTGTCTTCCTTTAAAACATTTGTGCCCTGCTGTGTAACCCTTCCCGAGTCTGTTCTTCAGTGACACAGTTACTGCCGCTATCTTACTCCTCGATGTCTGGAGATTACCTTAGACAGATATAAAACAAAAATACAGCCAGGAGACTATTAGTATATTATGGTCATGGCCTTAAATTTATCTCAGGGAGTGTATAGTCTTTTGTGGCTGATGGTTTGTAGGTACTAAGGGAGAGATCAGGCTTAATATTCTTGTGGGCTTCCTGAGTTAACATCTGCTAGGTAGTTATTTCAGGCTTCAGGAAAATAGACTCACAGATCCAGCAGTCCTTTAGTGCATTAATATGCATGATTTTGGCAGTGATACGTGACTTAAACAGCTTAATATTGCTTCTCAAAAAAAAAACCCAAAAACAAAAACAACAACCTCCCCCCAAAAAAAACAAAATAGAAAAGCATGGAATTTAGGTCCCTTCTGCTGGCATGTGAGCATTGCTTATTTGCAGAAACTGTTAAATGTAAAATTAGATTGATGCAGGGCTATAAAAAGTATGATTTCAGACAAACAAACAGCTGGAATTTATGTGGACTCATATACACTGAGATATGATATGCATCATTTTATGAGACTCAGAAACCAAGTATATACACAGATGTCACAAGAGCATATTTAACCTACTCAACAGATTGGGAGGGTTTCTTCTGGATACTAATGGAGGTGTCTTGAACTAACTTAGTCTCTGATAGAAAGTTTTGTATTTCTCAAATGCACAAATACTAAATTAAAATGCTAGAATTAAAAAAAAAAAAAAAAAAAAAAAAAAAAAAAAAAGTAGTGATATCAAGTTTTGGCAGTAAATGCACTTCATTACTTGAGCAAAACACCTCAAAGATAATATAAATTTTAAAAGAATTTTTAATTTATGCAGTCCAAATTTAGGTCATTTGAAAGTTCTGATATACCAGGTATCTTTGTCTTTTCTCTGGTGTCTTTGCCCACTACCTGTCTAAACTGATACATGCATACTTGACTTTGAGCTAACGCACATTGTAGGTGAGGATGACATTGCATTCTTTGATCACAAAAGCTGTAAGTCCTTAAGTCCTGGCCCAGCTGCCATAGTTAAGATCCATAGAGATACAGTTTTCTTTTTTCTGAACTGTTTGCAAAGCTACGTCCCTGAAAGTATTGTGGTGTGAAAATGAGTTATTTCCCATTCCCTAAAAGAAAACTTCCAAAAGCAAACATCTTCCCCAGACAACTAAACAAATAAGAATCTGACGTATTATCCTGTCATGTAGAAGGAAGGAAGGTTTGATGGAACAATATCAAAGAACATGGATACTATGGTTCAGATTCTTTTACAGTAAATGCTACTGTAGAGCATGACTTTTCCCATGGTTATAGTTGGAAAATGTCAACACTGTGCAATGTTGATCCATAGTTTTATTTGAATTAAGTTAGCAATGCAGCAATATTGCACAACAAAAATTTTCAATCTATTTCTCTCCAACATTTGATAGTCTGCTATGTGTGCATTTAATTCATCATCTTCACACTGTCTCACATGTATCTTGGCTTTTCACAGTCTTTGTTTAATGAAAAAGACTGTGAAAAGAAACAGATTGCTATCAGGTCTTTTGCTATCTAGATAATTTCTTAAGTTCTTACATACGGGTACAACTCAAGATGCTGCCTGTCATTAATACGTCTGTAAATACTTTGACCAAATATTGTCCAAAATGCTTCTTTTGTAGTTCTTCCCCTTCCTCCCTCCCTCCTCCCCCAAGGATGATGAAAGGAACATTCTAATATGATTACAGCATAGTCGGCATTTATTGCTGACATAATTTTGGGGAAATTAACAAATATTACATGATTTTTCATGTGGTCCAATTTATAGAAATACTCCTATTTCATAATAAGAAAAATAACTTGAAAATATTAAAATATCCTTTTTTTGGTGTTTGAAGCGAGATGCCATTGTTGTGTTTAGCAATGAGAACCCTTAAGCCTTTTTCTTTTAGAAAAATATCTTAATATTATTTTTTAATAATATAAATATTACTTGATATTGGAATTAAACTTTTTACTTTGAGTTAAAGTTGTGGGTTTTTTGTTTGTCTGTTTGCTTTTACTTTAACCTAAGAAAATATATTGTTCATGTATTTTAAAAGGGCTTTCTTTCTAATCCAGACACGACCCTAACTACTGATTGTTCAGATTTGTGATTGAAATTACATATCACTGTAGTTATGAGTGCACAAGTTTACTAAGACAAGAGAGGTACACATGATATATTTAGAAGTGGTTTGAGCATACGTTATCCATCCTTCATGTCTCATGCCTTCTGCTTATGTCCTCAAAAGGGAAACCTCACCTCACCAAGGTTCTGCATGGATTCCCCTCAAGTGTAAATAAAAAAGCGCTGATTATCTCACAATGTAAAATGTCTGCTAAATGGTTTAGTGTTTCATGTGTGATTTAAACTAATTAAATCTCTGGGCTGGTTTATATTTGGTGGGCCATTCTATTATTGAGTTTTTAAGCCTGGAGGTTTCAGTCCACTTTTGTGATTAATCAGTGAGCAGCAGAGCCAGCAGAGTCCTCTGTCCTGTTTTGTTCATCTGCAAGATGAGCCCTAGCACCTTCACTTTGATTACCCTTTACCTTACCAGTAAAATAGCAATAATGTTTCTCCTATATTCCACCACCTATCTTCCACTGCTCAGCTTCCTGGGAAAAAAAGTTTTTTTTAGGTCCATTCCATCACTCATACAGAATTGAGCACATTTGCTAATGCCTGGGCTGCCTGGACAAGGAGCTCCTTTTATTGCCAGAAATTTCCCTGGGCTGTTTGGGCCCCAAGCTGTTTCTTAAATACAGATTGTAAGATCCAAGCATCACTGAAATCTTGTGGTAAATTAGAGCCCTAAATATTCAGTCAGTCAACTTGACATATTTGTCATCAAATTAACTTCAAGCTGACCTTTGGATTCACAAGCTGTTAGAAAAGGTGAGCAGGCACAGAGCAATACTATGGTAAATATTTGTTTCCTTAAGGAAGTAAGCTAAAATGTGGTCATTCAGCATATGCAAAGTATTTTTGTTGTAGGTATTTACCATTTACAGTATGTTCAGAATACTCATTTAATACATTTAGAGTAATTCAAACAGTGGAGTCCAAAATAACAGTATACACATGAAATATACAGTCTTAAATTTAATGGAATTTAGGGTTTTTTTTGCATCATGAAAATTCTGACATTTACTCCTTCTGATATTCAGAGCGAGAGACTTAAAAGAGTTTTGCAATGAAATCAGGTGCAGTGCTTGGCATTCCGCTTTATGCCAAGTGCCTGTTTTGTATTTAAAATTTATTGCTTTTTAATACTGGTGGTTTTTTTTTTTTTTAATTGAGTAAGTTTAGTTATTGCAAAAGCAATGCAATTCATAATGGTTTGGGCCAAATATAGTGCAATCAGACGGTGTGCAGTTTTGCCTAAAGAGCTTTGACAACCTCTTAATCTTGATATGTAGCATGCCATGTATTCTAGTCATGGTCGTTTAAGAAACATATAATGCATGTCATGCTAAATTGCATACTAGCTGTTTGTTTAGTGTGGACATAATTATACCATAAACTGAACTGCAGTTGAAACTGAGAAATCGACTTGTAGTAATATTTTTAAAGTTTCAAAATCTTTATGCTAAACCACATTTTAGATTTTTCCAGACAACCTGTAATCATCCTATTGCCCATTAACTGCCTCTCTGAATCAGGTAAGGGAAAATGGTGACTGGGGGCCAGAAATGTACATTCTGATGTGACAGTGTCTATGTGTAGGCTTAAGTCAGTGTCCAAGACATACTGATGTGCTACAGTATCAACAAGATCAGTTGTTGGTTTGCTTGCCTGGATATTTTTCCTGCTCTGTTAAGCAGGGTTTTGATATCTGTCTCATACATGAAATTCTCCAGCTCTTGCACTTTCAAAACTTCCACTGTCTGATCTCAGTATTGATTACTTGTGAACTGTAACAATCCTTCTTGCTTGTCTGATGTCTTTAATTTTGTGATCCATCTCCATGATAAATCAATATTTATATTGTCATGGAGATAGTATATCCACATTCAGGCTCATGTGTCTGCAAACAGAGTGTTTGTCTGACAAATCAGTATAGAAACAGCTAAACATTCTCCTGGATGGAATACTAAGGCATTCCAACATATCTTGAAGAAGACATGTATGATAGAGTTACCTTCTATCTGCTAATACTTTTTCTTTCTTCCAACAGGTCCCATAAGCAGCATTCTGGTGAATAAATATGGTAGCCGACCAGTGATGATAGCAGGGGGTATTCTGTGTTCATTTGGCATGATTGCTTCCTCTTTCTGCAATAGCGTTCTGGAGCTATATATATGTATTGGTGTTGTTGGAGGTAAGAGTGCTCTCTAAAATGTAATACTATATTATTTCTAGTACTGCTGTACCAGCAACCCGTTACTGAGAGAAAACAGCATGCAAGGCATTGCACATGCTAAACAAGAAGGAAACAATATCAGTTCATTTCAGCCATGTAAATGTTTTAATTCTTTAAATTAGCCACTATGATGTTAAATTATTTCATAGAATATTTAAGGAACAGCTGAGAATTTTATTCAATAAATGCTGTATATATGTACTCTTCCATGCTGCACTGTAATTATGGTATAAAAATTGACAGCATTTATTACAGTAATTTGTGTAGCATTTCACGTTCATTGTTTTAGCTTTCAATCAGGTTACACATCAAGCAGGGTGGCAGAGAGTAACAGAATTATAGTGAAAATGCAGAACCTAATCCCAGCTTTCTGTAGGTTTTCTCCCATAGAAAGTATGATAGGTTTCAATTGTAAAGCTTTCTGTGTAAAATCCAAGTCAAAATTTAAACAAAATTTTTCCTGTGTCATTAAAAGCCTGAATATTTCCTAAGAAAATGAGGTAGCTGTAAAGCCAGTAAATTAGTTATTTACCAAAAGTATCTCTAATAAAATGAATGCCACCAAACAGATGAATAGCTACTTAGCCTTTATTACAGAGATGTCTTAATATGGACAGAAGGCCAAGAGGAGGAACTCATATTCTCGTGTGAATGTGTGGACTATCTCCATACTTTTCCTCCTCTTCTGCAACAAGTGGGGACTTCCATACCCGAGGTTGTAGAGCTGAATGTGCTCCAAAATAATTATACCTTTTAATTTCCACTTTTATAAACAATTTCAATCTTAAATAGGACTGGAAATAAAATGAGAGGAGATTTGTTTAAGTTCATCCTATTTTCATTGTAACTGAGTTGCCATTTACTAACCTTTGTAAAATGAGCCAAGAGAGAATTGTATTATGGCTTACTAAATAAAAAATAGAATCATGGTGCTGATACCATAATTCCTGTGTCATTCCACTGTCTCTATCATTGCTGAAACACAACAAGGAATTTGGGTTTATATTAAAATGCTACAGGCGGAAATGACAGAATACCACCATGACTTACTGCTGACTTGAAGAGAGACAGCAAGGCGTGAAGCTGTATTTCACTCTCATTCTAGGTGGTTTTCATTTTCATTCAAAATCACTAGATTAGATATTGGTAATATTAAAAAAAACTTGGCTACAGTATAGTGTATGTTCTGCAGTTCATGCTATGCAATAATGCTTTGTACTATTTGTATTTGTATTTTAGGTCTGGGTTTGGCATTCAATTTACAGCCTGCCTTAACAATGATCGGCAAGTATTTCTATAAGAAGCGTCCCATTGCTAATGGATTGGCCATGGCTGGAAGTCCAGTGTTTCTGAGCACATTGGCACCTCTCAATCAATTCCTTTTTAATGCATTTGGTTGGAAAGGAAGCTTTCTCATTCTGGGAGGACTACTTTTGAACTGCTGTGTGGCTGGGTCACTTATGAGGCCTGTTGGACCAAAACCAGTCCCTCCTGTGAAAAAAGATGTTGAAAAAGGCACAGGAGATTCTAGCCTGCACAAAAACAACAAGAAGTCATTTTGGCAAACTATTAATAAATACCTAGACTTATCCCTCTTCAAACACAGAGGGTTTCTGATCTATTTGTCAGGAAATGTTATTATGTTTATTGGTTTCTTTGCTCCAATAGTTTTTTTGGCTCCTTATGCCAAACACAAGGGAATTGATGAATATTCTGCTGCTTTTTTGCTATCCATTTTAGCCTTTGTAGATATGTTTGCTAGGCCTTCAATGGGACTTGTAGCAAACTCTAAATTTATCCGTCCAAAGATCCAGTACTTTTTTAGTTTTGCTGTCTTCTACAATGGAGTCTGTCATATCTTGTGTCCTCTGGCAACAAATTACACTGGCTTGGTGATATATGCTGTATTTTTTGGGTTTGCATTTGGAATGGTTAGCAGTGTACTTTTTGAGACTCTGATGGACCTCGTTGGTGCTGCCAGATTTTCCAGTGCAGTTGGACTGGTCACCATCGTGGAATGCTGCCCTGTGCTCATAGGCCCTCCTCTAGGAGGTAAGAATCTCTTTTATTCCTTTTTTTTTTTTTTTCCAGGTATGATCTTGCAGTTTACTAATGAATTAATAAAATAATTGTACTTAATGTTATGTCATGTTTTCTCTGTGATTAGGAATGCAATGTAGAAGCACTGCATTGCACCTATTGTCTTTGCAATTCACAGTTTCATATCTGCATGAAAATGTAAAGGCATTCGTGGAATGTATTTGCAGTAGATAGATTATTAATGTATCTTGACTAGCCCTTAAATTCAGATAATGTATGATTCCCTGGTAGTACTTAGAGCTAAGTTTGCTGCCTTAATATATAATATATTCAGTTCCACTTTGCTCTTCACCAGAACAATTCTTACTCCCTTGAATTCATCTGATCCACTGGTCAGTTTTTGAAGATTTTACAGAGTGACTTGTAGTTTCTCCAACTTCATCACAGCTGAAGGAACACTTTCTTACATTTAAAATGACAATCTTAATTTCTCTAAATGGAGACAATTTGCATATCTAGATAAAACAAACCGGCAGAGAGGTGCTGGAATGGACAAAGTCAGGCTTAGCAGCTCAGGCAGCACTCCAGCATGGTGTTGCATGGCACTGTGCCCTCGTGTGAATGTCACACCACACCTCCACACTCAGCCAATTGTTCAGCCTGTTTCTGTAGGCATTAGATAGGTTTCAGACATTTCACTGTATGAATCATCCTACCTGGACTGAAAGTTGTTAGTGTTACTAACTTCTCTTTTCAACGTAAGGGGAGATAAAAAGCAGACTAGTTGATATAGCTTAGGCTATATTTGTAACTTTTGGGAATCAGGTAGCAAAAATGATGAAAAGAGTCTTACAGAAGTTTCTCTAAAAAAAGTAGATACCCAAATCTTGTTGAAAAATATATATTAATTGTGTGTGTGTGTCTTGTACTGTAAGCCCAACAATATAGAAATGCAAAGACTCCTAGCTCTGTGAACATACACTATACCCAAATAAGCAGTGTCACAAAAGTCAGCTAGACTATATGTGCCTAAAAGTACATGTCCAAGTTTTTTTAGGATTGCCATCAATATTTGTATGAAAAAAGCATTCCTTTATGAAATTTTAAATAAGCCAGAACTGTTCAACTCATTTCATTACAATAATAATTGTACAAGTATGTTTTAACAGACCTCAAGATATTCCATATTTGCCTCATCTTTTATCATATGAGTTCATTTTGGTAATGGCAGAACAAAACGTACAACTCACACAGACTCTTTCTGTGCCTCCTAGTGTGGGGAGCCATCTGTGACTGATAGAGTCTACCTTTTTCAGCCAGGCCCTGAAATCAATATCAATATCCAAAAATTTTAAATTTAATATCAGTGGTGCAATGGCATATATGAGTATTTATTTTTTAATTTGTCAGGTTTGCACAAGTTTTGAAAGGCTGTGTATAGTGCTATAACCACAAGTATTTGTGCTATAACGATGGTAATTGACTGTGCTTGTTAAACAGAGACAACAGAGGGGATGAACACATGAAAAATCTAAATTCCAGTTTTGACTAGTTCTTGTTCTTTTAAATACTGTGCTGAAGTAATGTTAGTGCAGAATCTCATTTTTAATCAATTTTGTGAGACTGCTTATGAATAAAAAGTGGTAAATTGTACTATATACAATAATAAGTTAATTATACACTTGCAGCACTACTTGAGTTTTTTCTAATGCTAGGCTTGTGAAGTAAAGAAAAGACTAAAATAGTTTGATGGCTTGTAAATGTGTCTCAGGTAAATTAGGGCATTGGGTACAACCCAATAGAAGCATCTAAGTAAGTACTTACTGTGCAGATTATCTTTTGAATTTCAGTGATAGTGTAGCTGTGTTCAAAGCTGAATGCTTGGATAAGTACAAATGTTGATTAGGGAGTTGAAAAAAATCAGAAAGAATGGCTCGTAAAATGGAAGAATGTTGTAGTTGTCATGTCCGAACTAATCTTAGAATTTTGAGTATAATTCTTAGGTACAGGCTTCTGAGTTCAAAAATCAACAGTTAAGGATGATGGCTGAAGAAATAAGCCTTTCTATTTCTTTCACCAGTCACAGGAAAATAAAAATGAAAAACAAGCAGTTGGTGCACAGTGACAGCAGTCTAAGAAGGCACATTCCTTCTCATGCTATTGTCTGTGTACAGCCTCCATGAGTGTCAGGCAGTCACTCAAAAACAATAAAAAGCAAAATCAGGAGCTGAATAAAATAATACGACAATGAAAGAAAATGAAAGAACTGGAAACTGTCTGTCATTATTCATTAAGCTTTTCTTACTTTGTTCTTCAATATTTTATCATTGTCAGTGATTCCAGTGACAATTGCTAGTTTAATCAACGCATGTTTTATTAGAGGCCCACTATATATTTTAGACAATTTGAATGTGTTGGAAACACTTTTCTGCTCCAGCTTTGAAAACAGGTCATATATAGATGCTTCTCCTGAAGAAATATTTAGATTGTATTAGGTGTTCTATTCTAAACATACTTTTCTCTCCTTTTGTTTTTCTATTTCAGGTTGGTTAGTGGATGTTACTGGTGAATATCAATACATGTATTTTGTCTGTGGAGTGATTGTGATTGTGGCCAGCATCTGGTTGTTCATTGGCAATGCTATTAACTACAGGCTATTGGCAAAAGAAAAAAAGTTAGAAGATGAGAAACAGAAAGCACAGAAGAACACTGACTTGAAGGAGGCAGAACCACTAACAAACAACGAGAATGAAGATGCTGCTAGCAGAGCTGACAAAACTCTTGAAGATCCTTCAGAAAGAGAAACCAATATTTAATCTGCTATGTAGCCCAGAAGACAACACTTATGACTTCCATTTGAAATATGCCTTCAAGACACAAGCCAGGTTTTGTGTTAATAATGATCAGTTACAATATTGGATGGGAACAGATTTTTGCCCCATGTCAAGACTCCGAGTTAAATTACAATCTACTGTTTATTTATTTCAGTGATACAAAATTGAAGTTACAGAGGTAGTGGTTCCATAAATAAGCCCATCCAAACTATGACTCTGGACAGTGAAGAGTCAAGAAAACTAGGTGTAAAGCCTTCACATGACAAAGTTTTGTTTCAAAAATACATATAATGCAAAAGCGTCTGTTGCTGTTATATGGGGAGATATTTTGTGTTCTTTAATAGAGTACTGTTAATGTCTGTTGAATTAATGTGCCCAAACTGTATTTACTACTAATATAAAAAAAAAAAAAAAAAAAAAACGAGCTCAAAGATTTGTTTCAAAATTACCCGAATGAAGCACAATGAAAACTTTTTTTCTCATTTATATGCCCACTAGATCAAAATATTCATTATATCTATGTAAAAAATTTCAGTAGGAATGTAGAAGTTCAGGTTGGAAGACACACAATTGGTGGGCACAATTTATAAAATGCAATAAACAGCAGAGGTTGTTTCCTCCTGTAGTAGGTGGCTATGTTATACTTCAACAGACGCATTTGGACACAAGTACATTCAGACCTCACTAATTCAAAATAAGCTAAATGAAAGTATTCTAAACTAGAATTCATACTGCTAACAAAAGTGGAAATCAGTTTGTTCACTTGCTTCATGGCAATGACATCAGCGTGGATGCTTGAGTTAATTGGCAAGTCGTTAACTGGTTGATGACAAGATGTAAGGTCTAACTTCAGGTCCTTGAGGGCAGGCAACTTCATACCAGTTCTCATCTCCCCTTCCCGTGTATTTAGTGAAAAGCTACTTCTATTTCATGTTATTGGTTTAATCAAAAATGCTGCAAAGTATATTGTCAGTACAAATCTGGGAGCTTTGTATTAGTGTATCATTTTTTGTGCAGGATATTTGGTCTTGTTTCACATAGACACATCAATTGAAATACGCACAATTGTTCCTTTAGGTAAAAACAAAATAAAATAAAATAAAAATTATTAATAAAAAAAAGATTTAGCATTGCACTTGAAATTGAAAAGTGCAAGGTTCTGAAGGTTTTAGATGAAAATATTTCTGTTCTATTCATAGTTGAGGAACTTCATTTTGCAGAATTTCATATATATGCCACAGAAGTTGTGAAAATTAAGGGTCTGATTCATAGAACATTTGTACGTGTACATTCAATTCAGGAAAAAGTATGTTATTTTTCTTTAGTCCTCAAATACATGTCGTATAGCTGTAAATACTCTGGACAGACAGATATGTTAAATGCGATTTGAAGTGCCAATAACAAAAGAAATACAATTACAGAAACTAGCAAGTGGAAATGCCAGTTTCTTAAGAGCAGCATTCAATTTGCTTATTTTCACTATTTAAAAAAGACAAAAAAAGATACTGCTTGCCTCTGTCTTGCAGGATTATCATCTTATTTGCTACGTACTTCCAGAGTAACGCTGAACTTTTCATTAGCACTGTTTTGGAGAAGAAACATCATGAATCCACTAGCAAGATGGTACAGAAATTTGCATCTTCTTTTTACCTAATTAAGCGCAGGAAATTCAGACAGCTTCTACAAGTCTTGTAGGTACTTCAGCAATAAAATAATGTGTATTTCAGAGTTTCAGAAGAAAATAAGGGTTATATGCTCAGATTTGAGCAGTGAACTGTCTAAAGGAAAGTGATATAATCCCCATAAAGTTGCAGTTCAGAGACATAAATACATTATACCTTCTTTCAAAATGTAATCCAGACAACACCCTATGAGATGAAAGCATTACTCTGGTTATGGATGCATGGACATACATGGGGAGTTCCAGGGTCCAGTCTGAAAATGTCCCACATGTCACGAGATGTAGAGTTTCATAATTGGCAAGCTGTCATACAGTTAGGAATATCAGTAATAATGCTGGACTACAAAGGATGAACTGAAACATCAGCTAAAGAGTAGTCATCAGGAGCACCACTTTGCTCTTGACAGCAAGTGTCAAAGGCAGAGATTATTTGAAAAGAGTTGAGTACATAGGTAGAACAAAAATGACAGAGGCAAAAATTTGTGTGTTTATTATCTCTGCAAAACAAGCAAACAAACAAACATAAACCCAATAAACCAAAACGAAAAAAAAAAAAAAAAAAGAACAAGAACAAAACCACAAAATAGCATGATTAAAAATGCAGGGTAAAAGACAGCAAGTATCAACTTTTGATTTAAGCCCATTAAAAATAGATATTGACCTTTAGGACTCAAGTAAGAGGCTCTTGGGAATCATACAGGCAGCTCACCTGTTCTGTAAAGGACTGCAGAATGCAATAAAACATGGCATAGGAAATAAGGGAAAAACAAGTTTCTTTGAGCCATAGACACACCTACAATAGCAACACTGATGTTACTATCTCAGAGGAAATCGATATTTCTGTATATTCTCTACAGGACTCCTGATCTTTCATCTCCAGTCAATGATGTCAGTAGTAGGAATCAAAGAGGTGCTTTACCACCATTCACCAATGTACAGCTTTTAATCACATAATGAGGTAAAATGATGTATCAGACAACAGAAACAACATAAGATGTGAACTGAATCTAGAGAAGCATTTCTTTACATTCTTCTCATTTTTTCTTCTTAAAACTGGCAACAACTATTACTAGAACAGCAAATCAGAATGCACTTGATATTACTGAGTGTTATGGAATTTTGAATGCAAAGCGTAATGAAGAAGATTGGAGCCATATCTATGCAAAAAAAAAAAAAAAAAAAAAAAAGCCAGAAATGAAAAAGTCTTCCAAATAAGAGTCCTAAGGTGGAATTTTAATATGTAGTTCTTATTTTAATATTAATAATAAACTGCCTTCAGTCAATTCTATGAGCATTAAAGTAGTGAAATGAATATAACTTGCCTATAAAACCCGGAATATCATTCTTACTTGCGCTGAGCTGAAATCATTACTGCAAATAAATTCCTTACCATTCTGCTTTTAGAATGAGACCCATGTATATATCATTTATTTATGTCCCCCTGCTTTATTTTAGTTACTTTGGTCAGCCTTCACTATAGACCACTGCAGGGTCAAGATTAAGAGATACCTTTGCTGTACACAGTCATGTAATGTACTCTCAAATTTTAAGATGTACACGGGCACCTCTTACACACGACGAAGTCTGTAGTCTGTCAGTCAGTGTAAGCAAATCCTGAGTTAGCCTTAATCTGATATATATTTCATCCTCTTTATCTCTCTGCTATAATATTTCTAAGTCAGATTATCATGTTGTTTATATTCAATTAATCAAATAATGCCAAAATCTTAAAATTAGTAGGAAAGAGAATAATCAGCCTCCACCAATCATATGTTTCCTATTTAACATCAAGGTTAGATTTCAGATAGATTCAGAGTACTTATCCAGATACTTCTATCTCTTTAGTGTTTTTTGACATTATAATTCTCTAGTAGCAGGACGATTCTTCTGTTTTTCCCTTTTCAACTCCAGAGAAAGCCTTCTCACTAATAATTCTTAGTACTTCTTCAAGAACAAATGTTCACCCTTGCCACTTCTCACCACTGAACTGTGCTTGCAGCTGTTGCCAGTTTTGTATCTCCCTCAGGTTCGAAATCCTGTAGTCAAAGTGCAGTACTTATGTTTCAAGAAGGTGATTTGTGAACTGTTTTGACAGGGTTGGAAAAAGTTGTCTTCAAATAGATTATTATTATTTTCTTCAGTTTTCTAATGATATTTTCCTTATGAGAGTAAGTTCAGCTATCCTTGCTGTTGAAGTTAATGGCAACAATTTCCCTGGCTTTGTGACTCAACGTTCACGTTAATTTTTATGGCATTTTTGTATAGCAACATCCACTGTACTTAAAAAAAAAAAAAAAAAAAAAAAAAGTTTGTCAGTGTGTACATAACTGTTCAAAACTTAAGCCAGAGAAGTCTATGAAGAGTCACAAGCTCTGCGGGTAAACAGTGAGTTTTAATTATTATTTTTGGTTTTTTTTTTTGGTACAACCATCCATAAAGATTCTATGAAGTAGCAATGCATCATATACTCCCTCAAGGAGTAGGATTCATCTTGCCTAGTTTTATCCATACAGAAATCATATTGATTTTATTTCCCATTAGAGATGCATCCCTATTAACTATTTTTGTAACTTTATTTCCCTTCTTATTCAACTTGAAGGTTCTTCTGACTCACAGTTTTCCATTCTGATGTTGCACAAAAAACTTAGATACGGCATGGAATCTCTTATTAAATACTTGCTGTCATTGTCTTCCCTCAAATGCCGAAATAATTTTTTTTTCACTTGCTAGTTTAGATGGTTGTGGGGAGGTAAGGTGTTATCCACTTATATAATAAACTACGGATATAACACACAGCCAGGTAGTATTTAGCCATCAGGATTTACTAAACAAGCCCACTTTTTTAGAATCATAGAATCATAGAATGGTTTGGGTTGGAAGGACCATTTAAGATCATCTAGTTTCAATCCCCCTGCTATAGGCAGGGACACCTCCCACTAGACCAGATTGCTTAAAACCTCATCCAGCCTGGCCCCGAACGTCTCCAGGGAGGGAGCATCCACAACCTCTCTGAGCAACTTATTCCAGTGTCTCACCACCCTCGCAATAAAAAATTTCTTCCTGATAATATATAGTCTAAATCTACTCTCTTCCAGTTTAAATCCATTTCCCCTCATCCTGTTGCTACATGAACTAATAAAGAAGTCCCTTCCCGGCTTTCCTGCGGGCTCCCTTCAAGTGTTGGAAGGCCACTATAGCATCTCCCCAGAACCTTCTCTTCTGCAGGCTGAAGAGCCTCAGCTCTCTCAGCCTGTCCTCATAGTGGAGGTATTCTAGCCCTCTGATCATTTTCGTGGCCCTCCTCTGGACCTGCTCCAACAGCTCCATGTCATTCTTGTGTTGAGAGCCCCAGAACTGGACACAGTACTCCAGGTGGGGTCTCATGAGAGCAGACCAGAGGGGTAGAACCACCTTACTCTATCTGCTGGTCATGCTTCTCTTAATGTAACCCAGGATACGGTTGGCTAGATTAACTTGCTGCAATGGATACTGACAATTTTGCCTTTAATAAAAGTCAATCAAGGCAATTTTTGTTAGTTTCTCTATAGATAATTATTTTTTTACTCCTACTGAGGAATATAAAGGGATTTTTAGAAAATATTTATTATCAGAGATGACATCAATTTTAACAAGGCTCTCTGGTTTACTTTGGGGGGAGGGGGGAAGTTGGCACTTTTCTGATGTTTGTGCATATATATTTAAAGCATTTGCATGTATAGGCATCTTTTAAATCACAATTTGCATAAGTATTGCTATATAATTTCAACATCATTTCATGTTATTATTTTGCAATTCAATTTTTTTTTCTCTGTCATCTACCTCTCAGTTACAGTTAGGAGACTTGCATGACCCTGGAAGAATACAGCTAACAAAAAGCATAGTGTTTAAACTTGCACAGATTATTAGACAGTCTCCAAAATATTTGAAGTAGTTCATAGTAATATTTCAGAGCACTGCATACTGATGACTGGACTGTATTCCTTTTCAATATTTTTAGTAAATCTGAAGACTAAAGCCATACTGGTATATTTTTTGCATCACTGAACTGGTGTAAAAAAATTGATGTGTCATTTGAACACCCAAAGTCTACTGCCCTTTCTGTGAGATGCTGCCTTTTTGTATTTCTTTCTATTTATGAATTAAAGGAAGAAACTAAATGGAAATGTTAGGACATTAGTACCTACGAAGTGTTACAAAAAAAGTTGCAGAATATTTTGCATTCTTCATAAGAAAAGAAAAGAAAAGAAAAGAAAAGAAAAGAAAAGAAAAGAAAAGAAAAGAAAAGAAAAGAAAAGAAAAGAAAAGAAAAGAAAAGAAAAGAAAAGGAGAGAGAAAAAGGAAGGAAGGAAGGAAGGAAGGAAGGAAGGAAGGAAGGAAGGAAGGAAGGAAGGAAGGAAGGAAGGAAGGGGAGGGAAAAGAATTGAATACAGAATTTTAGCTTTCTTTCTCTTTTGTGGAGACAGCTGGGAAGCTGGTCACAAAATACTCCACTGGGGACAAGAAATAATGGTTGTTGGTCTTGGAAAAAAAAAAAAAGAGAAAATTGTTTCATCAAATATACTCTTCTGTTTAGTCTACAAACCATTCTTGCCTTCTAGAACAGTCCACAGAGTCCACTGAAGTCAACGTAAACAATCAGACAAGCTTTATCAGACTTTGGAAGTGACATGGCTTCAGTGGAGGCTTCAGCCTTACTTTCTCCATATCAAATCTCAGGAATGTCAGATAAAACACAACAAATGCAGGATTTATTGCAACTGGCAAATTTAGCTATGCCTGCATAATATGCATAGTGAATCAGTCCCTAAATTAACGCACAATATGTATTATTTTTGTCTATGTAAATAAGCAAAAACAAAAAGCAAAAACAAAGAAAAAAACCTTCTGAATGTAAATTATAAATAGAGAGGATATATTTAAATAAATATCCGAACAAACCTGTTTAACTCCTAAAGAGAATATCTGTTTGCTTTCAAGCCTTCTGTCAGCAGTTTATAATCTTCATTTTTATTTTTTTTTTTTAGACAGTGATTTGTGTCTTTTGGAAGTGTACATATAAATATATATATAAGGGAATATATATCTGTATTTATGTATGTGCATGTATATGTATTCCCTTATATATGGAACTCTAATTTATATATATTATATATACTTTTGTATATATAAAATATATATAATGTTTTAGAGTAAGTTGCATATTGTGCCTATTAAATGACACACACTTGTAAGCAGATAAAAAACTTCAGTTTTTATTCAAATAAAAGAACAGTGTAGAGATTTTTTACAGTGTTAAAGTATTATTTTTCAGTTTCTGGTGGTTTTATTTATATCAGAAATTCCTTCAGAAAACTTCATTATTTCATAACACTGATATTTCAAGCACAACTCAATTAAAAGTTGAGCTAAATTCACTGAGAAGGGAGATTTTTCATTATTAGACTAGAACTTCTCCACTGAGGGTGGAGTGGTTGGCTGGTTGTTCTTGCTGTAAAAATATTATCTGTGTGATCTCTGAGTAGACTGTGAAATGTAGACTGATTTTTCAACACTGTAATATGTATTAAAAGATCATATAAGGTATTGATAGACAAGATTTTGTTGTAAAAACTATGGAAAATGAGAAAACTGAAGCTCTGCAAACATTATTCCAATTAAATTATTGTGGGGAATTCTCCAGAACATTAAATTATAAAAACATTGGCAATGTTTTGTACATTTTCCACATATTATTTTTATTCTGTCTGCAGGTTGGCAAGTCTGTGAAATGCCTACACTTGTCTCTGACTCTTAGGAAGGTCTACCTTAATTTTTTTTTTTTTTTTTTTTTTTTTTTTTTTTTGAGAAATTTTTCAGAGTGGTACATGAAGCACTTATATAAATACCCTTCCTGATCTGTGAGATAGATGTATTTTCCAATTCTGGCTTACTTGGAAAGTTCACCATGTCTTCAGTCTGCTAATAGAACTTGGTATTCCTATGCAATAATTCAACATATAGTTGTCACTGTTGCTGGCTAACACTTTTTTTTTCTTCCTTTTTGTATTTTGCAATACTGTATGGTTTTTACTTGAATATATTGGCTAAACTTTTTGTTTGGTTTTGTTTTGACAATCAATTATTAGCTAGAGGTGCTATTTATGTTCCAAAGAGATCTGGGTGGATGACAACATTTTCTTTCTAGATGCCAAATGCTTTTTTGACCTGATAAAATTCATTGTTCATAATGTATATTAATCCTGTAAAATGCTTATGCACTGCATTACATTGTATTTAAAATGCATTTCTGCTCATTAACTTCTCTTCCAGGCCTGTACTAGTGTCTAATATGTCCAGTTTGTCCATGTATATTTATGGAAAATTACAAAGAAAAATATGTACGATAAATAATCAAAAAAAAAGA